GCGCCGCCCTGTCTGTCCTCGCCCCGCTCCTGCACGCTGGCCAGTCCGCTTCGCGGTGCCCCCGTCTGGCTCCAGCGCTGGTGCAGCCCACTCTGCCTCGCCGCCGACGGAAAAAAGGTGTGATATCATGGGCGGGGCGAGGAGGAGGAGGAGTAGGAGGAGGAGGAGGTGGAGGTGGAGGAGGAGGAGGAGGAGGAGGAGGAGGAGGAGGAGGAGGAGGAGACCCCCTCCACTTCTTTCGACAGGCTACCTGCCCCCCCCCCTCGTCCGTGCACAGGCCTCTGGCCACGCGCCAGTAAATTCGAGCTGCGAGCTCGTCAGCATGCTACTCCTCTGCTTGTGTTCGAAGGTCTGGCAAAAAGTCGAAGGCCTGGTGTTTCTTCCACAGTGACGCGCGGGTGGGCTCCCCATGACGGCGTGTCATTGACATTGTGTCTGCTTCCCCGCGGACCCGCCCCCTTCGGGGCTCACTTCGACTCCTCCGACTAGATTCGATTCGATTTGGATCGATGTCGATGCCGATTTGATTCGACTTCGGATTCCGATTCCAGTTTCCCAATGGAGGCTTCACTAGTCTGCTGATGTCCGCCTATTCGACCTCTCCCGACTTGGCGGCCGACTTCCGCCGATCCGGTCGACATCCTCCACCGCTCCGAATTCTTCACGCTTCGCGTATCCCCACCAGCCCATCCCCAAACAGCAACTCCAGCGAAGCATGCCGACAGTCGTGTTTTTCATGCGTATTTCTGCATGCTCTCGCATATATACCCTGTTCTTATGTCCTCCTGCCGCCTTGTACATCCACCTAGTGGGGGGAGCGGGAGGAGGACGAGTCCGAGGAGGAGGAGGGAGAGAAGGTGTTGGGAGGGAAGACAGAGGGCGGTCGTCGTCGTTTCACACACGTGAACGAGTCAGACGACTCAAATGACGGCGACGCCTCAGACGATGACGGCGACGACCACGACGACGACGACGACGATTACGATGACAACGACGACGTCGGCGACGACGATGCAGGCGACGACGACGACGACGATCCAGCGTTCTCCCCCGACCAGTTGTGCAGTGAGCGTAACTCGGCACGGATGGGCAGGTCTCCCTCTGAACGCATAGTTCGGAGAGCGGCAGTGAGCTTAGCTCCGCCCATCCAGCAACCTGCCCGACCAGTTGTGCAGTGAGATCTAGAGACCGCCAGCGGGCTACACCACAGCACACCACACGACACCACAGCACACCACACCGCACCACACCACACCACACCACGGCACGGCACGGCACGCCACGCCACGCCACGCCACTCAACCCATACCAGCACGATCAGTAAACGCGACAGGAATTAGAAAAAGGAACCAAGAAGCAGCAAAGGCGAGATCGGAGGAATCAGCAAAGGAGATATTTCAGGAACCACACCGCACTGCACCGCACTAGACCACCCCGCACCAACACCACACCACACCGCACCACACCGCACTACACCGCACCGCGCCACACTAGACACCACTGCTCACCACTACAAACCTCCACACACGACACCACACAACATCAGACGACGACACTTCAGCCCTAGAGGCCCCCAGGGCTCGCCACGAGGTCACCAAGGTTCCCAGGAGAGGCCCAAGTCTATATTTCGTCCAGCGTTGTCGTCGCTGTTGCCACTCTGGCTCACAGTGTTCCAGGCCCCAGTAGTAGTAGTAGTAGTAGTAGTAGTAGTAGTAGTAGTAGTAGTAGTAGTAGTAGTAGTAGTAGTAGTAGTAGCAGTAGTAGTAGCAGTAGCAGTAGCAGTAGCGGTAGAAGTATGAGTAGTTGTTGTTGTTGTAGTAGGAGTCGTGGTGGTAGCGGTGGGAGTAGCGGTAGAAGTCGTAGTCGTTGTCGTTGTCGCAGTGCTTGGGGATATACTAGGGCCTTCTTGGCGATATGTGGAGACATCTTGGAAATATACTAGGGCCTTCTGGGCGATATGTTGGAGGTCTCGGAGCCCTTTGCGGGCTCTCCCGGGGCGCTCTTAGGGCCCTCTTGGGGCTCTTTGGGAGGGGTCTGGGAGGTATCTTGGGGCCATCTTTCGGGCGATCGATCACAGATGGGGCGAGCATTTTTCTCCCCCCCCCGTCGGGGCCACGATCCTCCTGAGGGGTGTCGAATTTTAGCCCTCCCAGGAGTCGAAAAAGACCCCTCCGACCACCCGCGGAAGGACCTCTCCAGGCCCAGGGGGAGGGGGTAGGGGGAGGGGTAAACCCCTCCCCGAAGGGGAAGAAGGGGGTTGAGAACAGAGCGGGCTCTCTAAACCACTCACGCCCAAAGGGCTGGTGGCATTCGACTTCTCGCTTCGATGTTGGGCTCTCCTGCCTCTGCCTGGTCCCACGCTCCGGCGGACTCGAGAGGCTGCATCTTCGAGTTCGACAAGGATCACCCTTTCGAGACGGCCTACACGGGCCAGGGCTTCACAGAGGAGGGGTGCGCGGCGGTGGGCAGGGCGGGCGGGCCGGCCTGGCGCCGAGGAGGGACAGGGGTGATGATGACGACGGCAACGACGACGACAACGATAATGATGATGATGATGATCGTGATGACGATGATGATTATGCTGATGATGATGAGGATGATGATGATGCTGATGCTGCTGATGCTGATGCTGGTGTTGATGATGACGAGCATGATGATGAGGTTGCTGCTGATGATGATGCCTAGGATGATGATGATGATACTGATACTGATGATGATGATGATGATTATGATGATGATGACGATGCTGCTACTGCTGCTGATGTTGGTGATGATGATGATGCTGATACTGATGCTGATGATGAAGATGATGGAGCTGATGAGGATGATGATGATGCTGATGATGACGATGGTGTGATGTGGTTGAATATGGTCACGATGATGCTTCTGCTGCTGATGTTTTTTCTTTCATTTTTGAAGATTAGCGTTATCCTTATTAGTAGGATGACGATTATGATGCTGATGCTGACGATGATGCTGAGGATGGTGGTGGTGGTGAGGGTGATGATATCTGATGATGATGCTGCTGCCCACCACGACGACGATGATGATGAATGCTGCTGCTGCTGATGATGATGATGAGACCATGCCTACGAAGATGATTGTACTGCTGATGATGCTGATGACGATTATGATGATGATGCTGAAGATGATGATGCTGATGATGGTAATGATGATGATGCTGATGATGACGATTGTGATGGCGATGATGACGGTTACGGTGATTGTGATGATGTTGTTGTTGTTGTTGTGGTTGTTGTTGTTGTTGTTGTTGATGATGATGCTGATGCTGATGCGACTGTTGCTGCTGCTGATGGAGGAGGAGGAGGAGGAACCACACTTCGGTCAAGCCTCCCTCGGCCCGCGTCCATCCTTCCTCCCTCCCTTTTTCTTCTTCTTCTTCTTCTTCTCCTTCTTCTTCTTCTCCTTATTCCTCTTCTTGTTCTCTCTCCTCCTCCTCCTCCTCCTCCTCCTCTTCCTCTTCCTGCTCTCTTTTTTCTTTTCCCTGGAGGATCAGCAAGCGCGGCGTGAACACGAACCCCCGAGGGTCCGCCGCGGAGCGCAGCATTCTTAGGCTGGCCCCGGGTGCCCCCCACATCGCCCCCGGGGCCGCCTGGGCCTCGCGAGGGGTGCCCCTGGAGGTCGCGGGGGCCTCCCTGGAGATGCTGGGGAGACCTTGGGTCGGGACCACTTTCAGAGCAGTGCCCCTGCCGTCGCGCGATCGGCGGGCCTCGGGGGCGGCGCGCTTGGGTGTGGAGGTCCAGCGCAGGTCCGGGAAGCGCCGCGCGAGCCTCCGAGCGATTGCGTCTGCGTTCTGTCCTCCTCCTCTTCTTCTTCTTCTTCTTCTTCTTCTTCTTCTTCTTCTTCCTCTCCTCCCAATCACCACGCCCCTCACGCGGATCGCGCCCCACAGGAAACTCCACCTGCAGCCCAAGTGAATGCGGCACTACACCTCCTCCCGCCGTCCTCCCTCCTCCTCTGCCCCTCAAGCGTAAGTGCCTGCCCCAGAGGAGGGCGGCTTCCGGCGACAGAGCAGGCCATGGGCTCCATCGTCCACTTCCCATCGGCTCGCGCAGCTAGCTTGTGGCTCGCCTCCCGACGTGCGTGCTCTTTCCGCTGGTCTGGCGCCTCCTCCCTGTCGTTGCCTGGAGCCTCTGGAGTCCTCCCTCCTCGTCCTCGTGTTGCTCCGTGCCTCGCTCCCGGGGCCGGTCGAGGCTCGTGCTCCCGGGGCCAGGGCCGTCCGCCTCCTCCTCCTCCTCCTCCTCCTCCCTCCCTGCCTCGCTCCCCCTTGCCGCGCCTGGTCACGGAGGAGCCGAGGCCTCCGCTCCCCGACGTGGGGCGGGGTGGGGGCCCTGGGCGGGCCCGCCTCTCGACGGCTCTTCGGCGGAGGCGGAGGGGCCAGCCTCTCGACCACCCGCCCCCCCGACCATGCGGGCTTCCACTCCTGCTCCTGCTCCTGCTCCTGCTCCTGCTCGTGCTCCTGCTCCTGCTGCTCCTGCTGCTGCTGGTGCTCGTGTTCCTGCAGCTGCGCCTTCCTGCTCCCGCTCCTGCTCCGGGCTTCCACTCCTGCTTTTGTTCCTGCTGCTGCCCCTCAGTCTTCAGTGTGGTGCAAGAGTGTGCCCGCGCGTGCGCCCCTTCGGGCTGAGCGCTTCTGGAAAAAGGCTTGTGGTCGAGGTCCGGCCAACCCTCCCCCCTCGAGGGCCGCGCGCGAGCTGGCGTGCTGGCCGAGCTGCGCTTCAGCAGGCCGCTGGTCTGCCGAGCGGTCCCCGCTCCCGCCGCCTTGCCACCGCCGAGGCGGAACCAAGTTCCCGGTCGATTGGGTCTAATCCCGCTTAATGGCCCCTCACTTCGTCCTCAACGCCTTTTCACGACGACCTCGCAGGAATTGCTTTCTCACCTCCCCCCGTCCCGCGGGCCGCCAGGAGAGCAAGCCCAACTTCTTCGCCTCGTCGTACTCGACAGTGAAGGAACTGGGGCCCTCTCCCTCGCCATCCCCGCAGCCGCAGTCCTCGCCCTTCGGCCCGTCGCGCTTTCCGTCGCCCTCGGGTACCCCTGCCCAGCCCGCTCTCCTGCGGAGGAGGGGGAGCGGAAAGCGCAGCTGGTGGAATATGTATTCAGAAGGGCGAGAATGAGGATGAGGATGAGGATGATGATAAGGATGATCATATTGATGATGCTGATGATGCTGATAATGATGGTGATGCTGATGCTGATGCTGATGATGATGACGATGTTGATGATGATGATGATGATGATGATGATGATGATGATGATGGTGGTGGTGGTGGTGATGATGATGGTGATGATGCTGAGGGGGGAGGAGGAGGAGGAGTTGGAGAAATACTGATACTAGGAACGGGAATGATCAGCATACTTACAAGACTAAACATCATAATAAAAGAGGACTGCTCGAAAGACTATTTGTAATACTACCCGTAATCGTAGGACTGACCATATTCATATATTATCCAATCATAAGTAATAGTGAGAGCAAGAATACCATTGATAAGAAGGACAATCATATAACAATACGAGTAATAGTACGAAGAAGAGGACGAGGAAGGAGGAGGACGACAACAGTCACGCACGCACCGCGCACTTGCGCGCCACCAGTCGGCGAGGAGGCTCGCGCGGCGTTTCGGGGGCCATGAGCCCTGTCTCGCAATTGCGAGGCCCGGCCCCCGCAGTGCGGGTATGCGCGCAGGGCACGTGCCCCATCCCTGGAGCCCTACTTGAGACGGATCCATGCCGGTCCCTTGCCCAAGGTGTAGGCACAACGCGCCCTAATTGGGTGCGCGCGAGATGACCAGACCAGGGGGATGATGATGATGATGATGATGATGATGATGATGATGATGATGATGATGATGATGATGATGATGATGATGATGATGATGATGATGATGATGATAACGATGATGATGATGATGATGATGATGATGATGATGATGATGATGATGATGATGATGATGATGATGATGATGTTGATTATGATGATGATGATGATGATGATGAGGAGGAGGAGGAGGAGGAGGCGGAGGCAGAGGAGGAGGATGAGGAGAAAGAGGAGGCGGAGCAGGCGGAGGAGGCGGAGGAGGCGGAGGAGGAGGAGGAACCAGCAGCAGCATAATCATAGTAATAACAATATTGATGATAGTATTAGCAACAATAATAATAACACTAGGACTATTAATAAGAACTGATAGTGCGAATAAGAAGAATAGTATTATCAAACATTTTACACCGCAAAAAAACAAACAAAACGATCAACAATAACAATACGTATACGAAGAAGCATAGTATTAATACTAACAACAGGAATCTGATTACTATTGACTATCCGTAATAATACAAATATAAACAGGTGATAATAATAATAATAATAAGGAGGCGAATGCTACTACTCCTAAACTTAACAATAATACTAACAATAATGCGAATGCTAATACTAGTAGTAATACTAATGAGAATACCACGTTTCATAACCATCGCCATAAGAATGCTAATACTACTATAGAGTATTAAGACTCATACTAAGACTAATCAGAAGGACACTAACGCTAATATGAATAATGAGAAGCAATAATGCTACTAATACTAAAAGGAGTAGTGATACTAGTCATACGAATAATAACAGTAATACGAAGAGGAGGAATAAGAAGAGGTGGAGGAGGAGGAAGAAGAGGAAGAGGAGGAGGAGGAGGAAGAAGAGGAGTAGGAGGAGGAGGAGGAAGAGGAGGAGGAGGAGCAGTGCAAAACCAAGACTCATCAACAGTATTGCAAGAAAGCCTCTCTTCAAGTTCCCTCTTCAAGTTCCCTCTTCACATGCGCCCACAAGGCCCCAATCTGACTGAAGGAAATTCCCGGTTGGGGAACAAGCTTTTCAGCATCCTGAACTGTTGTCCGAACACCGTTTTTGGGGCTTCAGCTCCGAGAGTCGCCTTTACTGTTGCGCTTTGACGATCCTCAATCGCGCAAGAATGCAATTCCTGGCACTTCAACACCGCGAAACAAAGTACTTGTTACGCCTTGACAGTCCGACATCGCGCCAGAACGCCGTCTCTGGGACGGTGACCTTGACAATCCTTAAACCGCTGTAAGCTCTTAGAACGAACGTACTTGGCGTTAATGCGGCAGCCACGTCTTCAAAAGCTCGCCCTCCATCCGTGACGCCCCTGAGATTTTGTAGCACGAGTGTGCGCGGCGCTGAGGCGAGAGTCACATCTTGAAAAGGAACCGCCCTCCTTCCCTGCAGCTCTTGCAACTCTGTAGCACGAATGTGCGCAGCGCTAAGGCGAGAGGCACATGTTGAAAAGGACCCACGCTCCATCCGTGGAACTGCTGCAAACTGTGAAGACGGATGTGGGCGGCGGTAGGGCGAGAGCCACATCTTGAAGCGAACCGCCCTCCATCCGTGGAAGTGTTGCAAGTCGTTAGCACGAATATGTGCGGCGCTGAGACGAGAGCCACACTGAAACCGACCCGCCCTCCGTCCGTGACAGCGTTGCACATTTGGAGTTTCAGGGTTATGGATGCTGAGGAAGTCTCAAGACAAAAAGACCTGCCCGCCCTTTCGTCCGCCTCCGGGGCGCGACAGGGAGGAGTCATTCATACGGAACCTGATTCGAGTATGAGGAGGAGGAAGGGAAGAGGAGGAGGAGGCGGAGGAGGAGGATGAGGAGGAGAAGGAGGAGGAAGAAGAAGAGGAGGATGAAGAGGATGAGGAGAGGATAAGGAGGTGGAGGAGGATGAGGAGGATGAGGAGGATGAGGAAGAAGAAGAGGAGGAACAGGAGGAGTCTAACGAGAAGAACGAGGAAGCAAGGAGGAGGGGTACGAATGCAATGACGATGGAAGGTGGGGGGGTAATTATGATGGTGGTTATGCTGGTGATGGCGATGTTGGTATCGGTGATGAGAGGGTGAGCGGATGAGGATTCTGGTGATGATGCGGCTGCTGGTTTTGGTGCTGAAAGTGATAGTGATTGTGGTGGCGGTAGTACTGATGCAGATGATGATGCTGATGATAATGCTGGTGATGATGATGATGATGATGTTGTTGATGATGATGATGGAACGGCTGATCATGCTGATGCTGATGTTGCTGCTGCTGCTGATGATGATGATGATGATGATAGCGATGATGACGATGCTGATGATGACGATGACGTTGCCAATGGCGATTATGATGATGCTGATGATGATGCTGATGATGGCGATGATGATGCCGTTGCTGATGATGATGATGAGGATGGTGATGATAATGGAGATCGCGATAATGATGACCACGACGACGATGACAATGCTGATGATGATGCTGCTGCTAATGATGATGATTATGATGATGATGATGATGATGATGATGATGATGGCGATGGTGGTTGTGATGATGATGCTGATGGTGCTGATGATGATCATGATGCTCATGATGCTGCTGCTGATGATGATGAGATGATGGTGGGGATGATGTTGATGATGGTGGTGTTGGTGATGATGATGCTGACAATGATGATGGCGATCCTGCTGATGATGATGGTGGTGACGATGATGATGACGATGCCTCTGATCATAGTGATGCTGATGATGATAATGATGCTGATGATGATGTTGTTGGTTGTGGTGGTGATGGACGAGACTGATTATGATGATAACGATGATGATGATGATTCGTGGTGGTGGTGGTGGTTGTGATGATGATGACGATGCTGATGTTGATGCTGATGCTGATGATGATCATGATGATGATGACGACGACGACGGTGTGATTGATGATGAGGATGATGGTGATGATGACGATGGTGGTTATGATGATGATGATGATGATGGTGACCATGATGATGGCGACGATGGTGGTGGGGACGATAATGATGTTGATGATAATGGTGGTGCTGCTGCTTCTGATGATTCTGATGATGTTGATGACGAGGGTGGTGATGAGGATGATGATGATGATGATGATGATGAGGATGAGGATGAGGATGAGGATGAGGATGAGGATGATGCTGATGATGATGCTGATGATGATGATGCTGATGATGATGATGATGATGATGATGATGATGATGATGCTGCTGCTGCTGATGATGATGATGATGATGATGATGATGATGGGAGGAGGGAGAGGAGGAGAGGGAAAGGAGCAGGAGGGAGGAGGAGGAGGAGGAGGTCGAGGAGGAGGAAAAGGATATTAAGGACGAGCAGGAAGAGGAGGATGAGGAGGAGGAGGAGGAGGAGGAGGAGGAGAGGAGGAGGGGCAGGAGGAGGAGGAGGGAGGAGGAAGAGAGGGGGATGAGGATGAGGATGAGGATGAGGATGTGGAGGAGGAGGAGGAGGAAAAGGAGGAGGAAAAGGAGGAGGAGGAGGAGGACATTGAAGAAGACCATGGGGTCGCGGCGGCAGCTGCAGAGTGGACGGCGCGTTGAACGCCGACGCGGAGGCCGACAAGCGGCGCCGCTACCGCTACCGAAGGTACTGCGCTCCCTGGCCGGTGCTGCCGTTGGCGCGCGCCTGCCGCCCGCCTCGGCCACGCGGCGCTGCGGCACCTCCGCTGGCTTGCGCGCGACCAGGCCAAAACTTGGAGGACGGCCTGGAAGCGGATGCCACGGCCAGCGCGCCGACGAGGCGCTGGGGCCCAAGCTCAGCGTAGCACTTCATCGCGCCGTCGCTCGGCAGCTCTGCGCCGCCCTTCAGGGCGAGGATGCCCCGGCGACGGCGGCCTGGCTGGCGGTGGAGGTGGCTGGCTAAGCGGCCACTAGGACGTGGTGCCGCCGCTGTTCGTCGGGGTCGTGCAGTTGCTCCTCATCTTGGTGCCAGTTCGCGCGCTGACCAGTGGGTGTAGGAGGAGGAGGAGCAGGAAGAGGAAGAGGAGGAGGAGGAGGAGGAGCAGGGGTGATGACGACTACGGTGATGATCATGATGACGGTGATGATGATGACGACGATGCCTATGTTGATTATGATGATGATGATG